CACCAGTAATAATCTGCCAAAGGCGTTTCCCTTTAATGAAGGTAGAGAAAGCTTGGGCCCAACTAACATAATTAGACCCATCAAGAATAACAGAAACAAATTTGATGTTGTCAGTACGATCCATAATTGCCAAAATAGAGGTCACCAACAGATTCAGAAGGCTGAAAAACCTTAAGGACAAGTAGGGCCGACATCAGCACTGAGCTGTAATGATGTCAATAGCTAGGCAGTGGCTGAAAAGGGTTGACGTCAGTGGCTGAACCAAACAAGGCACGCAGCTAAAAGAAGTAAGGCGGAAGCCGAGAGTGAATCGACTGAGGCGGAAGCCGAAGATGAATCGGCTGAGGAGAAAGCCGATGTGCGAGCCGATGGCGGCTGAGGCGAAAACCGAGGGACATAAGCTGAGGGAAACCGGTTGAGATGACACGTGCGGGAGCGTGGTGAGAGTGGAACCGATGTCAACCGACGCGCCGGTCTTTGAGTGGCACGTGAGGGTGTGTGGTGTCCGATGGATGTGAGTCTGGTGGCGTTGGCTTCGTCTTGAAGAGACAAAGAGTTTGGTATAGTCCAAATGTTGAAATAGTGATGGACAAGATACGTAGAAGCCAACAGAAACCAACAAGGGACAGAACCAGGAAAGAAAAAAAAAAGGCTAGGAGAGAACCCTAGGCTCTGATACCATGTTATGATAGTAGAGAGAGAAGAAAAAAGAAAAACTCTATATTGAATTAATGAAATACAAGAAGCCTGTATTTATAGGCTGAGAAGAAACCTAGATAAGTATATAAAAGAAGATAGAGATACATCAGATATAAGTATAGAAAAGGAGATGAGATACATCTACAATACATTAGATACGTATAATAATAGATATCTAACATAATATATATCTAACAGTAATAAATATGATGAAGTTAGAAATGATGTCATTCATGGAGTCAAAATTGGCTTAAGTAGATAAGTTCACCTAGTATATTACGCGATTAGCGAATACAACACAATTCAAAGGATAATTTTATAAATCAGTTGCAAGTTAAACAATAAAATGGATGATTTATTTTTAAAAACATATTTACCGTTAATTTTTTACAAATAAATACAATAAATGAATAAGTTATGATTATCAGATTAACATAATTTTTTTTATAAATAATATACATAGTGGATTCGCCTTGCAAAATAAATGATTTAAATTATTTAAACGAAACTCATGATAGACCTATGTGCCAGTCAAAATTAGGAACGGAGAGAATGCAAACCACACTTAGAATGAATGTGATGCATTAATATAATTTTTCAAGTACTTTTTTGAATATATTTTTCAAAAATATGTAATATTATTGGAGAGAATGCACTGTTAGTTACGATTTTTGTGTTTTTATTTATAATCTATTGTATTGTTAGTTATCATTCATTGTGAGGTTAGTAATGACATTATTTTAGTTATGATTCAAGAGTTCTTTGTTATACCTGTGTCTGCTTATAACTTATTTGTTTTTATAGTTATAACTCCCATAATATTGAGTTATGCCAATTATAATAATTAAATTTACAAATGACATAACTTATTTATGATAACATTACCCAATATATAAAAGCAACTTTAATGTACATTGAAACCGGATCACTAGGGGTGATTATGGTTCGGATTGGTTCAATTTGGGGTACAACCAAGACCAATCCGTTGTTTACGGTTTCATAAAAATTGGAACCAAACTGTTAGGTTTTTATTCTTGGCAATCCCGGTTGACAAAACTCCTTTCAGTTGTATTTGTTTTCACACTTTTTATTTCAGTGAGACTATGAGTTTTTAGATGCGAATCCAACCCGAATTGTGCCTTGCAGAGAAGTTTGTGATGTTAATGCTTTCAAGATTGCCACTTCGCTGATTATGACGGGGAGTGCTCTCTCGAGCAAAGGCTGCGTTTGGCAAAAAACCTGAAAGAGATGAATGTACGCTCGAGCGAAGGGTGCGTGGCTTGAGCGAAGCCACTTATGGAAAACAAGCGTTTTTGGTTCCTCGCTCGAGCGAGCATCGCGATTCAGATTTCTATAAGTACATGTTTCTGTCTGAATTTAGGATTACTTCTCCAAGATCTTCTTCTTTGGTTCTAGGGTTTATATCTGGGGATATCTTGCTAGTTTTCTTTGATGTTTTTTGATTGAGTATTCAACTCATGGTTTAAAGAGTATACATCAAAGGATTATTTGTTTGTTCTACACAAAAGAGAGAGTTGTTCTTTGGTGGATTCTGAAGAATTCGAGCCTGAAGCTTTGATGGATTCCGAAGTGGCTCATCGTCAAGACAATTCTGAGGTGAAGACGAGGTTGGAAGAGGCACATAAAGGTTGGTTCAATTCGGGCGTGGATTCGCTAGGTAATTGAGAGTATACCTGTGTAATTCCTTTATATCTTCTTAGTGGATTGTTTTGTGGCTGTTGCCCATGGTTTTTTTTATCATAATTGGAGGTGTCCAATTGTGGTTTTTCCACGTAAAATCGTTGTGAGATTGTCGTTTACTACTTAAAATTGATACATAATCACAAATCAACATCTAGGGGATTTCTAAATTTTTCACAAACCAATATATTTAAAATAATGGAACTAATATGAACCAAATCATTTAAATATGGTTCGGCTCATTTTAGAATTACAGTTTTACATAATCTATTCACAAGAAAAATCATATAACATTTTCAAAACAAATCAACTTATCATAAATTTAAAAAATAATAATAACATGCACACCAAACAAAAACATAACATTAAGCAAATATTCATAAATCTACCCATAATTTTTCAAATCTTAACTTAAACATAATATCTGGGATTATATGCATCAAGGTGTGTAGTATGTATATAATTTTAAGTTACATACTTTCTAGTTCGGTTCTAATTCGGAACCGTGAACTTAAATCTAGAACTGATCCGCAGAGACCGATTCTCTAATTTTCCAAACCAGAATCGAATTACAGATTCAAAAAACCAATCCAAACCTATTAGATTGGACCGAACTAATTTGAATTGTGAATTTTTTGATTTCCTTACTCAGTCCTATGGATCACACTAAAAATTACCTAAAACTAGGGCTGCAAACGAACCAAGCTGTTCGTGAACAGGCTCGAGCTCGGCTCGAGCTTGGTTCAGTTGCTTAATAAACGAGCTCGAGCTAGAATTTTAGGCTCGTTTTCTTAATGAACCAAGCCCGAGCTTGGTAAGGCTCAGCTTGGTTGGGCTCGCGAGCCTATATATATGTTATGAAATTAGGGTTTTAGTCCTCAAATCTTTTTCTCTGGAAGTTGTTGTGGTTTTCTCACTCTAAAAAAAGTTGTTTCCATCCAAGCTTTTCCTTATTCGAATAATAAAGAGAGATTGTTTTGCAACCTTTGTCTGCTACTCCTTCTTCCTTATTTTCTTATTTTTCATCTCTATTTTAAGAGATTTGGTCTCATCTCATCTCTCTATAAACAAATTTTGGGGCTAGGGTCACAACATCGAATCGAACGAAGAACTGTGCTGAATATCAACGTTTCTTTGTTCTAGTAAAGATTTGGAACCAGACATCTTCTATTCAATCCTTTGTGGCAAGTTTTCTATTCCTTACTTTTGTTCTTCAAGCTACTGTGGTTTACTTTGTTTTTTGAATCTTTTCTCTGTTTTTTTTAATTCATTTTTTAAATCTTGGTTTGTTATTTTTTTTTTAATTTTTAATTTTTAAATTTTTTTGGTAATGTTTTTGCTTAATTTGATGCAATGTTGCTGCTGGATATGGCAGAATTTTATACATGAATTTCCCAGGCACTTTATATTGGAAATAATCATCAAGTTTGACTTGTTTCATAGATGAATCACCATGACTTGTTACTAGGTATGGCAAAATCCACCATGCAATGTTGTTTTAATTTTTTTTGAGAAACTGGAACACATAAATAAATGTGTAGAATGTTTACTTTGTTTTTTGAATCTTTGCTGTGTTTTTTTTTTTTAGTCCATTTTTTGAATCTTGGTCTGTTATTATTTATTTATTTATTTATTTGGTAATGTTGTTCCTATGTTTTTGCTTACTTTGATGCAATGTTGCTGCTGGGTATGGCAAAATTTCATACATGAATTTCCCAGGCACTTATATTGGAAATAATCATCAAGTTTGACTTGTTTCATAGATGAATCCACCATGACTTGTTGATGTGTGCTCCTTTCTATTTAGACAAATAGTGTTGATCATCATGGAAAATGCTGTATGTTTTAATCTTGCATTCAATTGTCTTCATTGTCTTACCAGAAAGAATTGTTATGGCTTTAGAAGTTCTTGATAGAGCAGTTTGTAATGATGTAGTTGATTGTTCTTTTGATGTAGTGAATACATTATTGATCTCATGGCTGCTCCAGGCACTCTAATTCCTTTTTTTTTTTTTTTTTTTTGGAGAAACTGGAACACATAAATAAATGTATAGAATGTTTACTTTGTTTTTTTTGAATCTTTGCTCTGTTTTTTTTTTTAATCCATTTTTTGAATCTTTGGTTTGTTATTATTATTATTATTTTATTATTTATTATTTATTTATTTTTTGTAATGTTGATGCTATGTTTTTGGTTACTTTGATGCAATGTTGCCACTGGGTATGACAAAATTTCATAAATGAATTGATTAATTTTGGAACTTGTGAATTTCATGTTGCTGCTGGGGTATGCAATGCAATGTTGCTATAGCTGATTATAATTTTTTGAAAAGTTGATTAATTTTGGAACTATTTTAGAAAATTGATTAATTTTGAAAGTATCTCATTATTTTGATTTCAATGTACCTTTCTTTCCTTTTATTTTAGTTTTCTTTCCTTTTGTAGCAATATTGATTACATTTTTTAAGCCTCATATTTTGAAATTATGTTTCCCCCCCCCCCCTTCTAGATATGTCGAATAGACAACTTCATCTCACTTCTCCAAAAAAATATTCGTGTACACCATTTTCTTCATTCGAAGAGTCATCCATTAGTCCACTCATGGATAATTCTATCAATGATGTTGTGAATGATGTTGATGTTATGATTGAAATAGAGGACAATGAAAGAGACAATGAAAAAGCTGTAAATGACAAAAACCCATTTGAAAAGAAGTCTAGAAAAAGGACATCCCAAGCTTGGAAAGAATTTACTGAAGTAGTCCTTCTAGATGGTACGAAGAAGGCTCAATGTCACTGGTCCAAAACACAATTTACAATTCATGTAACTGGTGCTACAACTCAAGTTCTAAGGCATTTGAAAAAAACTTGTGTAGCACGTAAACTTGTAGAAAAAAAGCAAAAGGTTTTATTTGTGATGACCGGGTACGTTATTCGTCTCATTCCTCGTAGTTTAATCTTGGGTTTAACTAGGAGCCTTTTTAACAATTTGGGTTTGTTGTGTTTTGAGGCTTACTTCAAAGTCCTTGCTTTTAATTATTTCTATGTCAAGTTTCTTACGTTTCGGAAGGCGCGAGGTTGAGTCCTGAGTGTCCGGTGTTGAGTTGGAAATATTTCATGGCTGGAGGACAGAGTTGCATGTGCGGGGCCTTGGGCCGCACGTGTAGGAAGGGAGTTGCACGTGCTGCACATGCAGGAGGTGAGGCCGCACGTGCGAGAAACAGAGGAGTCCTTGGTTGGTTACTGCATAATATGCAGGTGCAGAATGGGTGCCGCACGTGCGGGAGGCACACTCCGCACGTGCAGGAGTGAGTGCCGCACGTGCGGGAGCCATTGATGTCCAAAACTCTGCTTTTTTTTTTTCCTCCTTAGACTGCGTGTATATCATTTTTTGTATATCACTCTCTCTCTAAAAACCCTTTCTCCTCCTCTCTACATTTCCTACACGAAACAAGGCCAAATCCTTTGATTTCCTTAAATCCATTGGATTTTTTACCCTAGTTTCTTCATCAAAGTTGGAGAGCTAACTGAGGGCTTCATCTTGTGCGGTGGAGATTTGATTTGAACACCGTCAAATTTGGGGGTTTCTCAAAACTTGAGGTAGGGATCTTCTTAGAGTTATATATATATATTTTTGCAAGATTTAGTTGATTTTTGAAATCCCTTTTTGATAGCTTTGAAACTTGATAGTTAGCTCAAGAATGTGGGTGGTTTGAGAGGGGTTTTCCTCTTAGTTTCTTTAAAAATAATTTCTTGAGAGTTTTGAATTACATTGATTGAAAAAAAAAATGTTTTTGAAGAAATTTTTTCAAATGATTTTGGGTGTGTATAGTTGTGGTGAGAAAACCTAGAGATTTGAGGGTTTGAAAAGTTGTTGTGAACCCATGGATGACATTATTATTATATTATTCTTTTGTGCCAAAATGAATAAGTGATTGGAGAATTTCTCATCTCTCTATATATATAAGTGATGAATTTCATGAAATATGAGAAGTGTTAATGGTGGAAGTTGTTGTAAAAAGATGTTGATATAGTCTTGAAATGACTAAATTGTTGAAAAATGTATGAAATATGGAAATGTTGTTATTTATTGATAGATTTAAATGAATATGTGGCTATTTTGTGAAATAGCATTAAAAGGAGAAATGGAACTTTGGGTTATTATGGAATTATTGTTAGAGATATTTGAAAGTTGAAAAATATTATGTGGCATTGATAATTGTTGCATTGCATATCCATTCAATTGGTTATTACACATTTGGAGTTGAGCTTGGAAACTTTTGCATTGAGAAAAGAAAGTTCGTAAGTAAATTTTTTTTATGGATTTTGCGTTGGGGTAAATACGTTGGTAAGTTCGGATAGGAGGTGTAGATGAAGTTGATTAAGTTGGCCTTAGTGTCCATGGTGAAAGACCGAGAACATGCATAGAGTAGGTGCCACGTGCCTTTTGGTTAGGACCCGGTAAAGTGGAGATTTGTAGTGCCTATTATGCTTACTTACAGACACCAACTTAGGGATTACCTGAATCGTATTTACCGCCCCTTGAACTAAATCGATAAATTTCGAATTGTTGAGATTTCAAGTTATCATTGAGCATGATGGTTTTCAAAGGATGAAAATGTGATTTTCTTTCAAAAAGCATCGCATGATATGTACATTTCATTTGATGAAGCTTGTATAAAACATATATACTTTGTTAAGAATTTCTTATTGGGCTTTATGCCCACCCTATGAGATTTTGGTGTAGGAAAAGATGTGGTGATCCCACCGAGCTAAGGTACGGATGTATATGTTGGGATCACAAGGCTCTTATTTTTGTTGTGGTATATTTTGCTAGCCATGGGCTATAAATGTGTGGGTTCGAGAGACTATTTTTGTGTAACCAGGCTTAAGCCTTGGAATTTGTAAGCCCGTGAGGGTATTTATTTATTTTTGGATTGAAGATTCTACATGCTATAGATTCATGTATTTGAAACCATTGAATGTATATTCACATTTGGAAATCATCTTGTATAACTCTCATGACTAAGTAATGTAAAGGTTGGAGAGTTGCTTCTTTCATATAATGATTGTTGGTTAATGTACTTAAAAGGTGTTATAAATTTTGGGGCGTTACATTATCATTTTCTACAATTGGATCCGATAGTGTGACCAATGTTTTTTCCCTCACGTATGATCATGCGAAGGTAAGGGAAGCTGCTTCTCACATGATACTTTATCATGAGTATCCTTTTATGAAAATGGAGCATGTTTTGTTTAACAAGTTTATGAGGACCGCTACCCCATATTGGCAAAAGATTAGTCGTGCAATAGCAAAAAATGACTGTGTATCAACCTATGACATTCAGAAGAAGAAGTTGAAAGCATTGATGAAGAATGTTAACAGAATCAATATCACAATAGATTTGTGGAAGTTGGGGAAAAAAATCCAATATATGGTCATTACGGCTCATTTTGTAGATGATGACTGGCAATTACAAAAGCGTGTCCTCAACTTTTGTAATGTACCACCTCCACAGATTGGTGTTATCATTGCTGATGCCCTTCACAAATGTTTAGTTGAATGGGGAATTGAAAACATGGTGGCTACTATTACAGTTGACAATGCTTCATACAATGATGTTGCTTTGAGGGTCTTGAAAGAAAACTTTGCCATGAAGAAGAAATTACTATTAGGCAGAAAACTTTTTCACATTCGTTATTGTGCATATATCCTCAATATCATGGTGCAATATGGCCTTAGTGAAATTGGAGATATTGTTGATGGTGTTCGTGAAGGTGTAAAGTGTTTGGTTGCATCAGAAGCTCGTCTTCTTCAATTTAATGAAATTGTTAAACAGTTGTAATTACCTTCGAAGAAATTGATTTTGGATTGTCCTACATGATGGAATGGAGTATATATGATGATGGCTACTACATTGGAGTTTAAAGATGTCTTCCCTAGGTACCAAGAGAGGGATTTGGGTTTTATTTATGTGCCTAGCCTTGAAGATTGGATAAAAGTTGAGAGTGTGTGTCAATTTTTGGCAATTTTCAATGAAGTCACAAATATCATTTTTGGAAGTGACTATCCAACTTCTAATTTGTTCCTTACAGAGGTGTGGAGAATAAAAGAGACATTGAATGAGAAATCAGTGGATGACAATGAATACATTTGAGCAATGATTTTGAAGATGAAGGTCAAATTTGACAAGTATTGGGGTGAATGCAATTTATTGATGGCTATGGCTGTTGTTTTAGATCCAAGAAACAAAATGATGCTTATTGATTTTTGTTTTCCAGAGATCTACCCAAAAGCTGAAGCTACTAGAAACATCTCTATGGTTTGTGAGGCTGTAAATGAGCTTTACAATGAGTATGTTTCTATTCACATCTTATCAAATATTGAGAAAAGTTTTTTTCACAACACATGAGCAACTGGTTTCGATAGTTCTATGCAAGGTGTGGGAAATCTGTTGTAACTGGAATATCGAAATTTGAATCTTTCATTAGAAAAGATGACACCATTCAACTGGTGAAATTTGACTTGGACATTTATTTAGAAGAAGGTGTTTGTATTTGTAACGAAGATTCAGATTCCTGTTTTGATGCATTAGAGTGGTGGAAAGTGAATAATCTGAAGTTTCGTATATTATCTAAAATGGCGTGTGATATATTATCGGTTCCTATCACTTCAGTAGCTTTGGAGTCTACATTTAGTGCTGGTGGTAGAGTCATCGATCCTTATCGTGCATCGTTGTCAACAGAAACTGTCCAAATATTGTTTTGTGGAGCTGATCAGGTACGTGCATTACATGGACTGAAAAAGGCCCCGGATGTAAGTATAATCTTTTATCCTATATAATTAAAGTCCCTTCTAATAATCAATTTATGTGAAAAGTAGTAGAAAAAATATCTAAAATCAATTTTTTTGCTTCTTTTCATAAGCTGGCGAGCCATCTTTTAAAGAGATTTTGCTGTTTTTATGGTTTTTGTCTTGTAATTATGACATCTTAATAGGTGCATTTAATATTTTTAATTTTTTTCATTAAATACAAGAGTTCTTCATGGTAATTATTTTAAGATTTTACGCTAATATTAATCTTTATCAAATGAACCAGATTTTTGAGAAGTGTAGTGCAATACAGATTACCCAACAAAATTAAAGGAAACTTTTGGAGCTTTATCAACAAAATTGAAGGAAACTTTTGGAACTTTTGGAGCTTGATTCAAGTGAAGACATTATCAGTCTCAATTTCTCTTTTTGCATACTAAGAGAAACTTTAAAGACTCTTGTTCTTTTTTTAAGTGATGTAGTTTTATATTTTAGAGTTGGGATATGGAAGTTCTATGTTTTGATTAGTTTAGTTTTAAAGTTTGAATGGTCTGTTTGGAGATTGCTAGAATAGTTATTGCAATTGAATTTTAGTTAAAGAGTTTGAATAGGCCTATTTGCAGGTTCTCATAATATATTGATATTAATTGTGTTGTTTATGTTATTAATTTATTGTTGCATTAGGATGTTTTATTTGATTTTCAAGACTGGCAGATTTTTTTGGGCTGTTGTTATTGATTTATTGTTGCATTAGGATGTATCACTTGTTGCATTAGGATGTTTTATTTGATTTCCAAGATTGGCAGATTTTTTTTTGGCTCTGCTCATAGCTTAATTTGTTTGTATGTTCGAGCTCGAGCTCGTTCGTTTGTAAACGATCTATGTCGAGCCGAGCTCGAGCTTTAGAAATATCTAGCTCTAGACGCGCCCAAACGTCCCGGGAAAATCTCGTTTTGTTCATTGGGCTCACTACAGTTCGGACTCAATGTCACAATTCTTAATCTGATCTTGCAAAGTGCAATGCGAGATTGATAAATCACCAAAGAGTTCAAATCCGGCAAATCATTTTGAAAAACTGATTTTTAGAAAGAAGTGCGAAACATGGACTGCTTTGCCAGATACAGAGTCGCCACCTAAATATTTTATTTTGGAGAAATTTAGGAAACCCTAACTCGTGCGTAAGGCCACGTGTCCGTCATCACCAAAGTTGCCTTGGCTCGGGAACTTGGGTACGAGAGGGGAAGGTCATGCAATGAGCACCCCCGCTCGCCCGATCAAAGATCGGCCACTACTAAACATGATATCTTGTTTTTGAAAACACATGCGTTCTTATTCCGGTTTATTAGCCTAGAATTACTATGTGATGCGCACAGCGTACAAGTATAGACTGGATCGCCTAATTTGGAACAAAACATCTCATGTTTGTTTTTGAAAGTGGTTTGCTACTCGCAAGTAGGCTAAAATACAGATTTTGCCACCCTCAAGTGGGTTTAGAAAATATGGTGATTTGCCACTCTCAAGTGGGCTTAAAACTCGCAATCAATGAATTGTTCCAATTCAAGTAATCCAACCTTCACCCACAGGCAATCAGGCAGTTATATCACGTAAGCAAATAGCCTCATGGTAACCATGCTATCATGGCAGTCACTCACACACATGCAAGGATGCTAAAGCATAAACACTTACCGAGTACTTCGAGCCAAAGAAAGAAGCTAATTAGAAATCATGCATAAATCCTAACTATGCTAAGAATGCCTAATGCAACACATGCAAAAAGGCAACTACAATAGGTTCGGCTATTCTAAGATGGCATATGAGATGCAACAATCGATACATGTATTCAACTTAGAATTGAAAAATACAATGACAGTTACATTTGATGCGCCGAGCCCGGGTGCATGCAAAACAGATGAATGGATGTCAAACATACGAGCATAAGGATGCTAATTTAAACGTTGCTCTAAAACTAACCATCATAAGCTGGTAAATAAAAGGCGAGAAAAGACGTGGGGTTGGGAAGACATACATCACACACACGCACACTTATTACAACATTGCCCTCCTCGGAGGGTCCGAATAAATAATACACAACCGAATGAATAACGAATTACAGTTAATTGTTACACAAGCCTAATTAATTAACAAATTAACTAAAATAAATAAGCTAGCATGCAAAACATATGAAATGGACTGCCTCAGCTCGGTCTTGAATGACAAGGAATGCATGCATGCTCGAGTCACCTTGCTGGAAAATCCATCGCGATGCCCCGATTTGCCTCTGTTTGCAACTGGTCCCAGAACACTGTACAAAACTCCAGAAGGCTGAAACTCTATCATGTTGTAGGGATTCTACCGATTAGCTTTTGCTGCTGGCTTCCGGTTTGCTATAATAGAGAGCAAGAAAGGGCATGGCAAAGTATTTTCAACATATGTGTGCACGACCACTCACCCCGTCATTGCATAAGCTCTAGGGAGTGTAATACTCGATTCTCGTGCCACCAATCACGCATCTCGATGCATGATGGCTGAGGAGTCGGATTGTATGACTTGATGTAAAATGAATGCACATATAAACACAACAAAGCCTGAACTCCACCATGGGTAATCCGGAGTGTCGGTGACCGAGAATCGAGGCACGTTTCGTCACTTGGAGTACGAAACGTTCCTCGTTTCCCGTGTTTGGACTAAACCCTACTCCAAACACTATATAACAACTAGAATGGCATGGCATGCAAACACAATTCAACAACTAGCATGCAATCCTAAACGAAATGCAACTAAGACATGCAAACATGCAAGGAATGACATGCAAAGGGGCAACTAGCATACACAATGCTATGAACTATGAATGGCATACTCAATGCACATGACGCTATATGGCATACACAACGCATATATGACGATGGATATACACAAAGGCATAATCAAGGCATACACAATGCGACGATCAAGCATGCGACAACATGGACATGGCATACACAATGTAAGATGGACTTAAACTAAAATGAATGGGCCTCAGCCACACTCAAATTAGTGGCCAAACATGATGAAATTAGGCAACAAAAACACATGCAGATATGCACAAATGCAAGGGACCAAACCTAAGGCACCAAATGCAACCTTACCAAAGCATGGCAATGGATGAAATATGGCATACAATCACACATTTTCCAGCTCTGAAATGACACGCAAGATGGTCCCGAATCATGTAAACACCTCACACAATGCATGTTAGATAGCCCGGATCCCGAAACTAGTGAAGTGCATTACACTAGAGGTACACAAAGCAATGCTCGAATGACCCACCCAGCCCCAAACAGTCCCTATGCAGGCCCAAAACAATAGGAAAATGGACTAAAATGGTGGCTCAAAAGGCACGGAAATGAAGCTCATGCAATGGTCCATAAATGAGGCATTCATGCACAACTCTCAAACACGTTTAAAGAATGAAAAACATGGGAGTATGGCACAAGTATAGGCTCTGAAATGACATGCTCAATGGCCCCAAAACATGAAAACACCTCAGTATAAGCATGCAATAGGCTTCAAAACTCAAGGCTAAGCAAGGGTATTACTCTACAACCATGCATAGCAAGCATCATTCGACCATGAGACATAAAAACAGAGCTAAGGCAGTCCAAAACATGTACAAAATCAGTTTAAAGCATGGCCAAAAAGTGATAGAATCAAAGACCAAAATAGTATGCAATACAAGCTAGTGAAGATGGTTTACACTACAAGTATATGAAGCATTCAAGAGGTCACTAAACCAGAAAAAGTCAGATGTATGACATGCCAAATAAAGCCCAAAAACTCATTGAAACATGGTCAATGCAGGCAAGAATGACATGCTCCTTTGATAGGCTATGAAGAGGGTTATTCTACACATGCAAGATGGACACCCAATATGGAAAAACAAGCTGTGGACAGAGCCTATGCAGGTCCCAAAACTCACCAAAAATGGCCTAAAACATGGCTTGGAAGCATGCAAATAAGGGCTCCTTTGTTAGGCCAAATATGCTAGAAATCCAAACAAGGAGGGAGAGGGTCACCCCTCTCTGATTTTGGCTCTCAAAAACACATAATAACCACTAAAAATCCGCTGGATTTTAGTGGTCAAAAGGGCAAACAAAGCTCAAAACAAAGGCCTAAGTGCATGGCTCAAAACAAGGTGAAATGAAGCATGCAAGGGGGTAGATGACCCCCAACAGGAAAACAAACATGTTAAGGACCTCAAATAAGAATTTTTTCAGTTTACACTGAAGCTCAAAAATGTTTTCAAGTATGGCTAAAAGATGGAGAAAAATAAAGCTCAAAAGAGGGAATAGGGTGTTACCCTTGTAGCTCAGCAACTCCAGCAGCTTATGGACCAAAAATGCAGCTCCTTAGGACCTTTCAAGACCCTCCAAGAAGCTTAGGTTGGTGTTGGAGGTGTTAGGCTAAGAGGTAGTGTGCAAAGGGGCAAGAACTTAGCACTTTTGAACACAAAATATAGAGACAATGGGGAGATGTATGTGTGTATGCTTCAGCCAAATTTTCCAACCCTTGCAAAGGAAGAGGAGACCTTCCTTTATAGACAAGAGGGACTAAAGCTTCTCCAAGAAGCTTCAAACCAAGGTGGAAGATCCTCCATATATGGAGGATCCAGTCTGTGCCTCTCAGCTGGCACAGCTGGAATCAACTCACTGAGACAAGACAGAAGGAAAGGGGCCGACCAGTTCAGGTGGTCGGCCAACCAGTTTAGGTGGTCAGCCAGCCAGTTCAAATGGGTCAACTCAACAAAAAGTGGTCGGCAGCCCCATTTGGTGGTCTCCCAACTGAATGCAAGCTAATGGTGTGGTGGGAGACCAGCAATTGTGGCCCAAAAATGAGGGAGACTAGTTATTTGACAAGAAAACCAGCTGGCGAGGGAAAAGTGGTCTCCAAGGAGAAAAGGTGGTCTCCCACCGTTGTACCACCTTCCAAACAATGAAAACAAGGTCCATGCCAAAAATGAACCAAGACGGATGCAAAACGCGGGTTCAAGGGCCAAAACACGCAGCCAGGTGCCTCGAAAACTGACTGTTAAGCATCGAAAGTGGCGTGCGCCCACGAAGGTGGTCTCCCAGGCCACAGTGTCCCTCTAGAGAGAGGAAACAAGGTGTGTGCCAAAAACCGGAGCAAACGGAGAAAGTTAAGCGGTCCCGAACCGAGGCGCACGGTCGACGGCTCTGAAAACCAGAAACTGGTCTCCAAATGGGAAAAGTGGCCTACGACCACGAAAAGTGGCCCATGGCCATTGAGAGATGGTCAACAAGACCTCTTCCTCCCTTCAGGAAGAGAAAACAAGACTTGGTTCGCAAACTGAGGCAAAGCACAAAAGGGTCTCGAGGTCTGGGGGTAAGGCTCTCAGCCTAAACTCCGAAACCTCAGAACGAGCACAACATGCGCAATCACCGAGCGCTCAATCGATGACGTCTAAGTCTTGAGATCGGTCAAAAATGGGGTGTCTACACTAGCGAGCCGAGCTCAAACGCAACTTTCATAACTCGACTTAGGCTCGAGCCAAGCCCGAACATGATCAAATTCTATTGAGCCGAGCTCGAGCTTTGCAGAACTCGACTCGGCTCGGCTTGTTTGCAACCCTACCTAAAACAGTTACAATACAACTCTATAAAACTATTTTAATTGATAACTGTTAAATTTAACTTATAGACTTCTTACCCTTCATCTGTTTGGATAAAAAATATTTTTTTTATGTGGTGGTGGTGGGTCGACGGCGATGGTGATGATGACGGTAATAGTGATCGTGGCCGTGGTGATGATGGTGTGATAATATCAATAAAATTTTAATTAAAAATATGTTTTACACTTTTTTAAAAGTGAAAATATTTTTTATTCAAATAAACTTATTTTTCAGTGATCATGAAAAATATTTTTTATTAATTTTTATTTTCTATTATATTAAAAATATAAAAAATATTTTTTACCAAAATAATCGTTGCCGATATACAAATCAACCTTGCTGTCCATACCCTAGTTAGGCCGACTCACAACCGCATCTCAAAAAATTCAATTTTTATTGATTTCATGACCACAATATATAACTACTAAAATCCCTTCTTTTTTGGGGAAGTTTATTGATCGCACCCATCAAGTGACTGTGCGTTCATGTTATAATAGGAAGATATATAATTAATTTATCTAAAATTTAGAAGATAAAATAGAAAAAGAACTAATTACATGGTCTAATATATTTGAAAAGATAGACCACATAATATATAAAATTTTATAGGAAAATGCATGAGACCCAGTGGGGGTGCTGGGTCCCTTTTGATTGGTCCAAAACAAGTTTTTTTTTTTTTTTTTTTTTTTTTTTTTTTTTTTTTTTTCACATTAGCAGCCCCCAACGTTGGAGATGGGGTGCTGGAGATCTTCTCCTGCTGGGGTCCCTAGCAGGACTCAATTTTGTAATAAAAGGACACATAATCAAAATTAATGAAATATAGTCCAATACACTTGACAGACCACATAGTATACACGTTTGATCTATTGGATTTTTTTTTTTTTAGATTTTGTTTTTTTTAGAGTAAATTACAAATACACCCCTTAAAATTTGATTAAAAAAAAAAAATCGTCCCTGTGATTTTGAAAATTACATTCTACCTCCTGAGGTTTCTATTTTCATAAAAAATAACCTTTTTATTAATAAATCATCAAGTCAATTAACATTTTTTAATGATGTTAAAATATATTTTAATTAATAATTTAAGTAATTTTATTATTGTATAGGAGAACAATTATGAATTTTATTTTTTAAGTTAATTCTGTTAAATAAAATTTTTTAAAAAAGAAATATTTATAATTTTTCAAACTATAAGAACAATCTGTATTTTAAACAAATTTCAGGAGTTTATTTGTAATTTACTCTCTTTTCTTTTTTTTTTTTAACTTTTTTATGGATAAGATACCAAAGTCCTTATCTTATCCCTTCCGATGCCAAAAAGCCAATTTTCACTGATTTCATGAAGCAAAAAAGTAAAAATGCACCTAAAAATCAAAGAAAACTGACATTAATGTAACAGAAAAGTAGAGTTTCCATTCAGACAGACATTCGAACTCTAAACATACATATATAACTTTCTAACATTATACAAACATAGCCAAACAAACACCAAATGACCATGTCCACTTCATTTATAAGAAAAACACTAAAAAAAACCTTCATAATTTAAAGAAGCCTCATACCCACAAGCAGAGAGATGTTATACATATATAAATACATATTACATATGTATTTAGATTATTGTTGAGAGAGAACCATCTTCTCATCTCTGGCTTTGTAGAAGGCTAGTCAGGAAGTTGTCATTTGCTCATTTGCAACTGCAAGGGTCACAGCTGCAGTTGGCTCCACATTTGCAACCATTCTCAGCTCCCACACCCATCTCAGATCCCTCAAAGTGTCTGCACATAAAATTAGAAATATGTATCAGATATCTATTTAACTTCCATTTAATTAAAAAAAAAAAAAAATTTGCAATGTTAATTTGCAAAAACAAGTGTTATTAATAAAATTAGATTGTAGAATATATGATTTTTTTTATTGGCTGGCACAAAAACCAATTATAGAATCGGACAGGACCTTTTGAGTGTAGAACTTAAAAAAACTCAGACCCACCTTATGTGAGAAATTGTGTAAGTCCCACAATTGGTTTTTGTGTTCTTAGATTTTTATATTGGATAAAAGAAAAATTAGAAAAATAATTATAATTTAATAAAGGACAAGTGAGATGTTCCTTTGGAACACAATTTTCACTTGCAATACAATGATTTACAATTCGTTTTCTTATTGTTTATTTATCTGGTGTTTAAGAGTTGGGTACATATCTACACACCAAAAAAATAAAAAATAATAAATAAAAATAAAAATAAGGTGTAAAAGATTTGGGTATAATGTTTTTTTCCAGATCAATGATGAAGATCGAAAAAAAAATTACAAATTCATGGAGATACAAACTCACTTGCACTCCATAAAATGCAATTACTTTTCCGTCTTTACAATTTATATAGAATTATCTTACAAAACTTATCTATTCTATTATGTAAACCGTACATCATACCTGATACAAACACTTTATTATTATTCTCAAAATGATCTTCATATTCAATATCTGCTAATTTTGTCATTATTATCTTTCTAAATTTCAAGAATGCCTCCCATGTTCAATAATTGTTATATCCAATAATAACTAAAAAAAATTCTTACTAGTCAAACTACATTAAACTACTATATATTTTTCTAATTTATCTAACAAATTATCTAAAAATTTTAAAATTACAAAGATCACACACACATATATATATGTGTGTAAAGAATAGATACATACGTGTTCTGAGGGGCAACACCAACAATAAGGGTCTCGGTAGTGGTGGTCTCTGAGTAGCTCATGTCAGGATACATGTTGCATCTGTCATCATATTATCCAGAAATTTTAGCATTCCAAATCATAAAATAATTAAGGGCGGATCTTTACGTTGTGTTTCGTTGCAGGATTTGAAAAGAAGTTTAAAAAGAAAAAAAGAAAAAAATATATGAAATAAAATAAAATATAAATATATTTTATTTATATTTTGCTTATTTTTATTTTTTACTTTTTTCTTCTTTTTTTTTTAAATTCTTTTCCAAATCTCCTAACCCAATACAACATTAATGAATTATTATTTGGATAAATATTTCAATAATTGGTAATCCAGAAAGAATTTAAAATAAAATTAAAAAAAAAAACCTGGCAATGGTGAGAGGAAGGGATGATAATTTTTTTGAAATTTTTTTTTAAAAAAAGAGTCGGTTTGACATTATAACTAAATAAATAATAAAATTTTAATTTTATTAATTTAAACTCTAATTTTTTGATTTATTTTCAATCTAAATCATTTGCCTATCATATTTATTTATTTTTGTGAAGTAAAATTGACAAAAAAATAATATTTTAATTATTAAATTAAAAAATATATTTTTTAAATATTTTAATATATACCTACATCAAGTTAAATGATTAAATGCTATTGTTTACTTAACGAAAATAAATAGATGATTTAGATTAAAAATAAATAAAAAATTACAGTTTAGATTGACAAAATTAAAAATTGAGAGTTTATATTGTTACAATAGTCAAATCATTGGTGTTCTTTTTTTTTTAACCAAAATATATTAATACAAACTGTAATGATACAAATTAAAATAAAATTGCTCTATAATATTATGGTCTGTGTTAGAGCAATAGTCAAATAACAACACAAAAACATAAAACAAACTAACAAACGCTCACCATCTAAAAATTAAAAACAAAAAATAAAAAAAACTATCTAATACCATCTCTAATGGTTCAACAGATGTATCACCAAATAACTAAGAGGAAAGGAAACCCAAATCGTTAATTAACCGGATGTATCTCCAATGGTTGTGCACCAAGTCATCCGGTTAATTAACTGCACAAAATTGAAGAGGAAAGGAAAGTTTGGAGAGAGACATAGCCCCCAACAATGCTCAGCCTAGGAGGGTTTCCACCACCCTGCAACACCACCCATCACCACACCATCTCTCAATTTCTTCCTTTTCCATCCAAAACCCACCAAACCCATCTCTCTTTTCTTTCAGATGGATTGACCCATCTCAATTTCTGTCCTGTTCTTCATCAAATTCCTACTAAATTTTGTGTTTCTGCTTTAAAGAGTCGAAGTGGAGGAAGAGGCGACAATAATAGGCTCTTGGAAATGGAAGATTTCGATGATGACTTTGAAGATGATGATGATGATGATGATGATGATGATGATGAAGATGAAGAGATGTTTGTGCCTTTGGTGAATATGAAGAGTGGATTGAGAACAAGCCTTTTGGGTTTGGCGAAGGGAAAGTGTATGATACTTCAATTGAAGACAACCTGCTCGAAGAAATGCTACGGAGTAGGGAAGCTCAGCTTGCTAATATCAATAAGCTCAAGAACAGCCCTGAAATACTCTTGTCGACCGGCCGGCCGACCACCTAGACATCCAGTGTTTTGATAAAAACACCGTTGGAGTGTGTGATATCAGATTGAGGAAATCTTTTTTTTTTATTCAGATTTGATGAAAAAAAATAGTGAACCATGGGAGATACTTTAAGGCTCTGTTTGGATGCATAATTTAAGAAAGGATTTGTAAAAAATAAAAATAAAAAATTATTTGGATAAAAAATTTAACTAAGGATTTGTAAAAAGAAACTAGAAAAAAAGAGAATTCACTTTTCTTTGCTTTGCTTTTTACTTCTCTCTCTCTTCTTCACAAATATTTTTTTCTTTCTTCCATAAATCCCTCTTAAATCCTTATTTTTTTCTTTCTTCCATTAATCCCTGTTAAATCCTTGATCCAAACCAAAAGCACAGCTTAATTGTCTATGAAAGATCTGTTTGCTTTCATTTTTAGAACCTATTTTTTCCACTTTTTGACAAAAATAAGTACTAAAAAAATATTTATGGTTGTCTTGGAGAAGGGCTATTTTAATTGATTATTATTATTATTATTATTTCAAAAGGGGAGAATTATACGCTGGTGAAAGCTGGAGCGTGGTATTTTTTTTTTATTTTATAAAAATTGAGAATTTTAAAGAGAACTCTAATAATGTGACAAGAGGTGAAACTCATATGTGATGTGATTTGTCTATATATATATATTTTTTTCTTTTTTAATTTTTTTTTTCCGATTCCCACCGGTTTGTAATTTAAAAAAAAAAGTATAAAAAAATAAAAGAGTTGACTATTTGGTAGTAATTTTTGATTAAAATAGTATATTGTCAAAAGACTCCCTAGATTAATTACACTAACACTCCCTAAATTGTTAGTAAATATCAATTTATTCTTCATCTATGAACCCGTACATGTTAATCCTTCAATTCTATATATCTTCGCCGATCACATCCAAAAAGATCATATTTGTGCGGTTTTTAAATTGACAAGTTAACATGTACGAATTCATAGATGAAGAATTAAAATAATATTAATTAATAATTGAAGAAATCTTGGTAATTAACCCAAAAGATTTTCAAAGTTTCGTATTTTTGTCAAAATATACAACATACCCATGTTCTAATTAAAGAAAGAAAGCACTAAATTTTAACAAGAAAAAACTTTCCTGCCGGGGAAATTTTCAAGATAGAACAATCTAGGGAAACAAACAGAGATCAAAATGAAAACAAAGTCCTACCCTCCACAGCCGTTGCCGCACTTGCAGCCACCGCTGCAGCCACAGTTTCCTCCGCAGCAAGACATTATCTAGGGAAAAAGTTGGGAGAGAAAGTTCTAAGAAAAAGAGAGAGTTGAAAAGCAATAAATGCAAACAACAAGAAAAGCTCTCAAGAGTTGAACGAGTAATAGGGAATGAACTCATGACCCCAATTTATAGTGGTCATAGTGGAAGGAAGGACAGAGAATTGGCTGCTATCAACCGTACACGTTTCTTGATATGACGTAATGTTGATCTCCTACGTTCCTCTCCCTTGCGCCCACGTCCTTTCCTTTTTTCTGTGGTTGTAATCTGTCCTCTTCTTCTTATAGTTGAAAAATTATGAAAAAATTATAAAAAGTATCCTAAATTTGAACATTGTAATAAATAGGAGAGGTTTTACTTTAGGGGTTGTTTGGGGTATTCTAAATAAATGTACTTTTTATCTTTTTAAATTAAAAAGTTAAGGGAAAAAATATGAATGTTTGGGTTAACTTTTTCACTTTTTATGAAAAAATATGTATTAAAAATTGTATAAATTAGTGTGTAGGGATTAAAAAATTGTATAAATTAGTGTGTAAGGGAAAATTAGGATTGAGAGTTGTGCAGCCGTAATTTTTTATTTTTGGTGAATAGTGATAACTTTTTAACTTTTTGAGTTACTTTTTGACTTTTTGACTTTTTTTACACTCCCAAAACTTAGCCTTATAATACTATTACTATTTATCCGAATCGCTCAAACCGCCTAATCCGCCCAACCCGCATATAAATGGGCGGTTTCGCAAACATAATGCGGGCGGATGCGATTTGAAATATGACAAATTTGCGGGTTGCGGACGGGTCGCGGTTTAAACCCGCAACCCGCAAAAACCGCCCGCACTTTAATTATTATTATTATTATTATTATTATTATTATTATTATTATTATTATTATTACTCCTTTTTATATACCAACTTTGTAACTTTTACAGGAGCACCATTATATTATCTATCACACTATAGGATCCTTATTTTTAAGTATTTCTCAACTTTCTTAATGCTGTAGAATTATCAAGTCCTAAACTTGGTTTCTTATATGATTTTCATTGGTGATTCATTCATTTTTTTCTAATAAAATTTTCCTTCTAATGGTCGATGGAACTTATATTTTGATTATTGATTACTGAACTGGCAATTCTAATTGAGTACAACATTTAATGCATTGATATACATTTTTTTCATGGCAAAAATGCTAGTGTAGGGTCTCTTTATTTTGGGTACTTTCATTTAATGCATTGATATTCAAATTTTATTTGTAAACTCATCAAAAAATTGTTATCACAAATATATAAAATGAATCTGATGTCTAAATTCGCTGGGAAAAAAAAACTTGAAAATTAATTTTTAAAGAAAAAAGTGTAAACCGCAAACCGCCCGCAACCGCCCGCACATTTGCAAACCCTATCCGCACAAACCGCAAACCGCACTGCGGGCGGTTGCGGGTTGACTTTTTCCCAAACCGCATAGATGCGGGCGGGTCAAAACCGAACCGCAAACCGCACAAAACCAATCCGCGAACACCCCTAGTTCACACCATTCATTTAATTCACACTATACACATTTTTATTTATTTTTTGTTTTTCTCAATTGACACCTCATAATCTCACATAATTCTCAAAATACCCTTATCATCAACATTTTAATCATAATTCTAACCATAAGGGGTAACCCATCAATCATTACTGTAACCACCAATCACCATCGCCTTCTCTAGCGCTACTCTCCCTCTAGCTAGCCCACAATAGCCCTTTCTTTCATGTCGTCTTCACTGCCATCACTGGCAGCCCTTGCAACTCCAAACTCCTCACCCCGTCCTCTCCAACTCTGAACCCCACACACTCTTTGCAAATTTCGATCAGTCACTTGACTACCTTTGACCATCCCTTCCTTTATAGCCATTGCCTTTGCAGTTTCCATCATGATCTCCCCATCACTGCTTTCTAAAACCCTAGATCGCGAGTTGTAACTGATGGCAATGATGGCAACGGCAACAGGCAAAAAGAAGAGAAGGGAAAGTGGCGACAAGGAAGACGACTTCGTAATGGTAGTGGCTTCATAGTGTTGTTGTGACAACCCTCACCACTATTTACTGATAATACTACTGATTATTACTAAACTGTGACTGAACATGATTAAGTAACTTATTTGACTAACATTCTGAACTGATTGATTGAGTGTATTAGTTTGAATGCATGTCTATCTGTTTGAATGCTAATGATCTATTCATGTTTTACGTTTTAAACTGCAAATTGAAGGCTTATCGGCGGCCGAATATGAAATTGTTTAGTGTTTCATGTTAGTTAGAATTTATGTGATTTTATGGTATGTTTAATTGAAATTTGATTTGGTATGATTAAATTGGATTAAATAAGGTTAAATTACATTAGTTTGGCTTTATTACCAAATTGCCACTTAGTGGACAATCCTAGACCATTCTTTTTCTACTTCCCTCATGTTTGATATGCCATTCATTTCCTCTAGAGACCAAACGTGAGAGAGAGCTAGAGAGTTGGAAGCAATCTTGAGTTCATTAAAGTTTGCTTGAGACTTAGAAGATTTGAAGGAACTTGCAAAATTTGAGCTTCTATAGCTTGAATTAGAGACTTGAGGTAGGAGACTCACCCTTTTAATTGTGAGTTTGAGTTGTTCTTGCATGATTCATGGTAAGGTTAGTGATTTAAGGCATGAATTAGCTTAATATGTTGAATTGACTAGGAATTCATGCATGCATGTTTACATTGTTGAGTTTTGAGGCTGATTTCATGGAAATCCACACATGCATGTCCATATTCTAGCTTTGGTCCATGAATTCAGCATGTTTTTGGAAGGATTGACTCATTTATTCTTGTATTAGAAGCTTTGAAGTTGATCAAATTCATACATGTTGCATGTACATCATGTTCTTGAAGTTTTGTTTGGAAATGGGTTCAATTGAACTACCTTTGGGCTTTGATTTTGCAAATTGATCTTTGAAACATGTCATATTATGAGTTTTAAAGTGTTTTCCAGAAAATTAGCCCAAAATGATCGAATTTGATGCTTTAAATGTTGAGTTTCATGCTTGGAGACAAATCTGGAAATTCCAGATTTTGGATCCATGCTCGAGCGGGGAACTCCACGCTCGAGCGTACACTCTGAGTTCATACAGTCCGCTCGAGCGGGGAAAGTAACGCTCGAGCATGAAATGCGTATATCCAGTACTTTGCATGTGTTTACAGTCCGCTCGAGCGAGGGAATGCACACTTGAGCGAGGACTTGTGTCTCACGCTCGAACGGGGGTCGAGCGCCCCATCGAGCGTGAATTTCTTGCATCTAGTACTTTTGCAGTCCGCTCGAGCGAGGAAAGTCACGCTCGAGTGTAGCTCTTTTGTCTGCATGTCCGCTCGAGCGAAGGAAGCCACGCTCGAGTGAGACCCCTGTTTCAGCAAAAATTTGAAAAGTGTTTTAAAGTGCATCTTTGCATCCTCATTCCATCCTAGGCATTCCTAGGCCTAATTTAAGGCATCTTAATGAGGATAATGCTATAGAACCACACCAAGTCAAGATAGAGACTAAGCTATTGTTTCCCAAACATGCAACTTAGTGTGTGTTCATCCTATAACTGTGTAGGGTTGACATCCGAGGACGCTCACTAGCCTATCTGTAACCCAGAACTCTGTGAGTAACAATGTTGTAAAGATATATTCAATCATGAATATTTTCTGAATGATCAAGTGTACTGCTTTCTGAAATGATATTTTTTACTGAATGAATGCTTGTCCTATTTGCGAACTGTATTCGTGGCATCCATAGCAATTTACTGTTACTGTATTGTACTGCTACTATCACAGAGATCTCTGTCGGTTCCCATATTTGTAACCACTACTGTTTACTGATATGATGGCCATCAACTGACTGTTCGGTCTGTTAAGACCTACTGTACTGTTTTGCTATGGGATGTACCACATATGACTGCTATGATTGAATGACTGATATACTGTTATAACTGACTGTTTTAAATACTGAAAAGACATTCATTCTTAACCTCTTTATGCATATGTTATTCATTGGGTTTTAGCTCACTATTGATATATATATGTAGGTGTCCAGGCACCTAATCGGAGCTAGGAGCGTTGGATTTAACTCCTTTTTTGGTCAGGCCAACCACTGTGCCTCACTGAGAGGTTTCAAGTCCTTCAAGCTAGGGCTTTTTGGGGTGTTTAGATTCATCCTTTCTGTCTCTGTTTTTGTATAGACTGACTGTACCTGTACTATACTGTTCTAATAGGGATTAGGTCCCTGTCCTAAATGATTGTATATGTATATATATACTGTTTTGGTTTCCAATGTGAATATGTATGAAAAGTCTTTTTTTTTGCATACAGACTGTCACAGCTCATTGGACATCTTTTATTATTGATTTGGCTTCCGCCAGCCCCTGTACTCTGTATTACTATCTTTACTGTTAAGCAGGCCTTCGGTAATCACGGATTACTGGCCGGTTACGGTGCTAAACCCATAGGGGCGGGTTTGGGTCATGACAGTTGCCGATTGGTGGTGGTTGGCCAATTGGTAGTAGTGGTTGGCCGACCAATGATGGTGGCGGGTAGTGGTGGCTATCGATAAGGTTAGGGTTTCTGAATGAGGGGTATGAATTAGAGATGATGGTATTTTGGATATTTGATTAAAGGATAAAATTGTAATTCAAAAATTATGAATGATGGTGTAAACTAAGAGTATGTGGGGTGTGCAAATAGAATTTCTCAATAAATAAATTATGAATGTTTAATTTTGTTAATTTAATCATAGATTTATTTTATATTTTAGATATTTAATCTCAAGAAGTGTATTTGTAATTTATCCAAAAATTGAACTCTCAAAATTTTTGTATTTTTTTGCATCTAACAAACAGTATTCATACTTGAGGTTAGAAGGAGACAACAAGAGAGTGATTCAGTAGCGTGTCTCGGAAGATGTTCCCTCTGGGATTGTGGTGCTATTTAGTGACAGATTTAAGAATTTGACATAGGGGTACTACACTTTCTAATTATCCTTAAATTCTTAGAAAAGTTATAAATTAGTGTAGAAGATCAAAAATAATTTTAAACACATAGGTGAATTTTTTTTATTACACCTTATTAGAAT